TTCAACAGCCACTGAGTATGCTGTAGCAGAAGTGATATCTTTTTCAAGCTCAATGCCCCATCCAATCAATCAGAAAGTGTTCGCTTCTTATCAAGACAAGAATAAATGTACAGACTAATAACCTTAATAACTTAAGTATCTCTATCGTGACATTTGCGACATACTTTCAAATACTTTTTATTTCTGTTTTGATACTTATTAAAATTTTATGTTTTTTAAAAACTCCTTTATAATATATAATATCATTATATATGTTATGTATATAACATCAATAAAACTTTTAAAATGTTTTATTTTAGAAAATCGGAAAAGACTTAATCTGCCAATTTTTAATACTATTTAATTAACAAAAGACTTTATAAAATGGCAAATAAATGCTATTTTAAAGTAAAAGTGAAAATGTAATACTTGATATATATTTTAGCATTAGATAATTTGAAGTTTACATAAGTTATAATATTGATATTTGCCTACACATTTTCTTATACAAGAAGTGCTACAACTCTCTTTGCCATTAATTCAAATCTAGTGGCTGCCTGTCATAAATATTCTGTCATAAAAATTTTGTGAAATTGAAAAAAAAAAGTTTGTGAAATTTTGTGCCACAATTTTCACAAACTTTTTAATTTAATTTCACAAAATTTTTATGACAGAATATTTAATACAGGTAGTATAAACATAAAAACTCTTTTGTTTATGAAAGTAAGGCCATCTCCAGTGAACTTTCAAAATTTGTTTGGGAATGTAAAAATAAAGATATAGAACCTATATTAAAATTGAATATTCTCAATCAAGCAGAGCCATTCAAATCTGGTGGTAAATTTTGCAATTTATGCATGACAGAAAAATGCATTATTACATCACCATTAAAATGCTGCCATGAAAATAAATTTCTAATAAAGAACTTTGCGGAAACTCCATAGCATTTTTTGCATATAATTTTTTTCGTTACTTTTTTGTGGTTATATCTGATGGTCGCTTTTAGTTATGTAATTAAAATATATATTAATATAAAAACTAGAGAAGTACTTTTACTAATTTATATATATAAACATATTATTATGTGTATAATAAATAAGTAAAAGTACTTCTCTAATTTTGTAGGTTCATTGTAGGTTAATTGTAGGTTCATCAGATCATTTCTAAATATGAAAAAATTTAAATTTTGAAATATAGACATTCTACCTAATGAACCTACAGAAGTAGAAACAGCCTGTCAAAGAAAAGATAGATGAGTATTTTTACTACTTTATTATTGCTCTGTTTTTTAAGAATATTGCACCAAAAAAATGCAGGGGTCAATTTTTTTTTTTTTTAAGGAAATATTTCAAAATTTATAATTTAAGCTACTAAATTTAACTTTATTGGCAATAACTTAATTCATATTTTAGTTTCAGACTTAAATAGGACACTTAGTACTAAAATTATACTGAAATTTTTTTTAATTTCAGTATACTTAAAGGTTAACACGTTTGGGGTAGTCCTGTGTTAAAACTTCTTAGATAATTGGTTTTAGAGTTATATATTGACACATAGTTTATTTACATTTATTATATGAGCCGAAAAATTACTTAAAAAAGAAATAAATAGTATGATATCGTATATGATGTTTTAATGCTTATAATATTATTACACATACTATTAAAGATTTCACTTAAATTTTATTTTATATATATATATATATATATATATATATATATATATATATATATATATATATATATATATATATATATATATATATATATATATTAGCTGTCCGAACCCATAAATTACCTGTCTTGGTAAATCTATTTCACACCGACCTTTTTTTACTTATTCCTAGCTTTAATATTTTTTAGTAAGTGCTAGAAAAATAACTATATTTATATAGAAAAACTATACTTATTTTTTATTTTTTAAAGCTATGAAAAAAAAGCAGCTTATTTGGACTCTTGCCCCGATAACTTTGAAGTAAGTTTGCATGTAAAAATTTTTTTCTATAAGAAAGAAAGTTGTCTCTTTAATGCGTTGTAAATGCTTTAAAGAGAAAAAAAGATTCAACTAATTACTTTAGAACATTAATAACATAAGTAACTCTATTTTGTCATATGTGCAACAAATTTCCAATGATGTTTTCATGTTTTTAGAAATTTCTAAAAGCTTTTTAATGTTTTTAGAAATTTTCAAAATCTTTTTAAAAAATTCTCTCCCTTTTGTTTGTTATAGTATATAATATCTTTATATAAATTATGCATATAATATCTATAGACCTATAAAAATGTTTTACTTTGTATTCTTCAAAACTGGAAAAGATTTTTTCAAAATTAAGTGTGTAAGCAAAAGAGTTTAGACCCACGCCAAGCACTTTGACCACTTTCGTATGCTATATCATCTTGTGGCATATAAATGTTATAAATCAAAGTTTAACTTTTTGTAAAAATTAATTCTGGCATTCCAGCCTGAAATATTGTAATTTCGGCTGGAACTGGAATGACCTAAAAGTGGCATATTCAGGCTGGAATAGAATTCCATTACATTCCTAATATATACATAAATATATATATATATAGAGAGAGAGAGAGAGAAATGATATCTTTAAATTATTGAGTGATTTCTTCTTGTTCTACTTGTTGGTAATCAATTGTGATTAAGCCCTACATACAGGAAGTAGAAATAAAACCTTAGTTTCCCATTTAATTAAACCTTTAATTCAAATTAGAAAAATAGAAAAAGTTAAATATTCTTTTTGCCATAACAATATGTCTAAATATTAACCTTGAACAACGAAGCATGATGAAAAATTTTGTAAGTGTCCTGATATAGTACAATATAAAAATGTTTAGATGTAAAAAAAATGTAGATAAAAAAATTAAATTATGAATAAATAAATTATTAATTATCAGATGAAAATGGTCTGGAAAACTCAGTAAATACTAATAATTCAACATTTTTTGATTTTCCTTCAAATTAAGTACTCTTTAGGGCTTTTTTTTATAAAAGCTTACTAGTGATATTTTTTTGACAAATATAAGAAACAATTTAAGATTACATCGCTCCACATTATACAAATGCTCAAAGAAATAAAGATTTTCATAAAAATTTTCCACTCGAAAATGACGATATGTTTCATGTTTTTTTAATCTTGTCAATTTTTTTTAATATAATAACATAACTACAAAAAATCAAAACAAAACAGCTTGACTTGTAATTGGTAGAAAAGTTTACATTTTATAAACAATATATATAAACAAATAGCATATATGTTTATATATACATTTTTTATATAGAGATGGTTAAGCGCAACAAAGTTTAAAAAAAAATTAGTTTATATTAAAATTAAAAAATAATTTATGTAGCATTTCTTTGCAAAAACCAACGCACTATAATAAAATTTTTAAATGCTATAATAAAATTTTAAACTACAATTACTATATTCACTACAATAAAAATTTTTAAGTAACTATTTTTAATTTTTTTGGTTTAAGTGGCTTTTGTTAAGAGCTTTTAAATTTTGCATCAAATTATCTCATTTTAACATATTCGTTGTATCATCCATACTGCAGCCATTTTTTGAAACGCCTTAAGGTTAAAAATATCAACTTTGACTTTTTTACAAAATCTACAAGCTAGTTTATGTCTAAAAATATTGAATACATACAAGAGTTCTGAAAAAATTCATTAAAAATATTCGTTTCAAAAAATGTTTAACAAAGAGTTAATTTTTAATAATTTTTTTTTAACTGCGTTTTTCTCAAAATACGTAATAAGCATATTAAGGCCTTTTGAAAAACAGCTGCAGCATATATTTATAGTAAAAAAATTAATGTAGCAAAAAAGCTTTTCATTTTCAAAGAAATTTTTAAATTTTTTTCTAGCAACGGGCTTTTTTTTTTTTTTTTTTGCCTCCACAGCAGCACCTTCTTGAGTAGCAGGACTTTCTTATTTATTTAATATAGTTTTTTCTTTATTAAGTTTCACACAACTTTTTTTTCAGACCATCCGTAGCTTATAAGGACTAATTACCTGAGCACATTAATAACATAAGTGTCTCAATTATCATACATACGCAACAAATTTTTTCTCCTGGTGATGTTTTTTTGTTGTTGATGTTTTATGAAATTTTAGCTTTCTTAAAATCTTTTCTTTTGTGAAAGTGTATAATATCTTTACGTTACATATGTTTGTATATAATCTTTATAAAACTTCAAAGTTATTTTGTATTTTAAAATAATCCAAAAAAATTAAAAAAAAAAAAGCCGCCATTGGTAGGAATCGAACTTCAGCTTACTTGTACAGCTTACTTGTTCAGCTTACTTGTTCAGCATACTTGTTCAGCTTACTTGTTCAGCTTACTTGTTACTGCTCGGCGCCTTATCCACTTGGCCACACTGACACATACTCAAGCGAATACTTTTAAAACAATGTAGTGATTTTTTTAAGGAAAAAATGTTATAGATCAAAATTAAGGAAGGCTTGACGCAATGCAATTTTCAAGTGGAAATCAAACTGTAAAACTTGATAAATGTTTCAGTATGTTTTAACATTACTTAATTAAAAGTTTACGTACATTAGATATTTAAATACGTGTTCGTTCAGGTTTTCTTACAAAACAACTCTTTCTCACCATTACCTCGGTTGCAATGGCTACCAAGGGTACCGTGTCAAACAAGCTTGAAAACGCACTATTAAGTTTGGTAATAATATATAATAGATATATTTACATTATCAAAACTAAAATAGTAATTTTTTTATAGAATAAAAATAGTTTGCAAAAAAAAACCAACTCAAAAGTTGCTAAAAAAAAGAAGTAGAAAAATACGTAAATTATGTAAATAAATATAAAATGTAAAATATGTAAATTATGTTAGTGTTTTATACAAAAAAATGAACAAAAAAAAATAATGTTATACAAAGAGTGCTCAATTTTCTTAAAGAACAGAGCAATAATTTAGTAAAATAATAAATTGGTTGGCATAATAATAATTTATTCAATCAATTACTTATAATTTTTTTTATAGATTGCAGGTTATTTTATTGATGATGATGGAAACCAGCTCAATGGATTTGTTTACAAAAAACTTATTTTCTTAAAAGGTCAAAGTAAACTCTCTGCTGTATTTGGTACAGTTGGTGGTGTGATTGGATTAATTGCTATAGTTATGGTTGTTGTTTTGATTGTTTGGAGAAAAAAGCATCCTTTATACTTACAAGCTGTCAGAATGGAAGATGGAACTGGTGAGTATTTTAATGCATATTAAGTTTAAAGTTTGAATTTAAATGTTAAATTTGCATTAAATATATTTAGTCTTAAGTCAATTTTACTTCAAAAAAGCCATAATAAAAGTTTTGCTTTTTTCATTAAAACAGAATAATATTTAGGTTTTTGAATAAATCTCAAACCAAAAAATGACTTGCAGTGTCAAGAAATATTAAGTTTTTTTATAAAAAAACATAAGCATTAACAGGCCCATAACCAGACTTTTTTCAGTAGAATGGCAAATTATTTACTCGAGCCCACTGTTTTTTTAAACAAATTTTTAAGGTTGTTTTTTAAAAATATTATAATTATGTAGCTGTTCAGCATATCCATTATTATTGACACAATGATTCTTTGAAATGACTTTGCAAAAATCAGAAATAGATGAGCTAAAACAAATTTTTGTTTTAATTTTTTAATTTAAATTTTAGTTTTTAATATAAATGTCTTTAGCTCTCGCGTGCTCTAACTTTACAAATGACACAAACTCCTCGTGTATCTCATGTTTCTTATCAACAAATCTTAGTACAAGGGATAGTTGCTCTATGTAGTGAGAATTGATTGCATCTGCAAAGACAGAAAAACATTTGGCTTTCTTTATTTCTTTTATTATAGAAGCTTGTGCCATACCTTTTCCTAAAACCCAGATAATCTCATTTTTACCTTTGCTGAAATATAATGAGCATTTTTCATTTTTAGACTTAACAAATGCTGTTACTCACTGTTAGAATCTACCATTAATTTAAGTAGTGAAAGAAAGTTACCAACATTTCAAGGTTTATCTACATTTTTAATCGTACCATGCAGAGGTATACATTGTTTTCCACAATAAATAACAGCTTTCTTTATACATTTCAAAATTTGTGTATTGCATTTATTCGTTAAGCAAGTGCATTACTTAGTTGACTGTCAACTCTAAAAGAAACATTTTCAAGTGTTGATTGAATAGTATAATATTTTTCCAATCATTTTTGAGAAACTCTATTTTTGTGATTATCTAATTTTTCTTTAAGATTTCCAATTGTTTAAAGGTTAAAAATTATTAATAATTAAAAATTATCAAGACCCCTTATTATTTTATTCTTTTTAAAAAAATGCAATTGGGTTGCAAAACAAACCTCGCTGCACAACAGAATAACATGCTCAATTAACATTAGCCCATCCATTTGATTAAATATTTTTTGGAAAGTTTGTTGGTATAATATGTTTATTATGAAGTTGGATTTCTGGCCACATCTTATTATATTTTGCTCAATAGTCCTTATGTTCATAGTAGACATAATGACATTTCAAATGTCAAAAAAATAAGCATTCTCAATACCTGACATCATTTTTGAGTGTTCTTCAATTATTTAATGTCGTTTTAATGATGATTGGTTGCAATAAAAGATGTAGACAATAATTTGTTTGACTTTTTTTTCCAGTGAAGTTTGTGAAAACTGCCTAAATTTTCTGCCAATAATTCAGAGGAAATATCATCTTCAAAAGATGTTGACATATTGTCAGGAAAAAGTACTTGTGATTGTTTTTTTAGGAGTTCTATTGTAATGCAGGCATATACTTTTATGTATAACTTTTTTAGTTATATAATTACATTTATTAATTTTATGTATCCACGTGTTTAACTTACATTGATAAGGTGTTTACTTTGTACACAGAATGTTTGTGGATCTAATCCCAACATTAACTATTTTTTTTGTTTTTCTTTTAAGTACCGCTGGTCATATATTTGCTTTGTAGCCATTTATCTTTTCTTTTTTGTAAATAAAAAATCTTTTAATTGTATATTTTTAGATGATGCACATGTTTTCACATTCAGGTTTCTTATACCATTTAAGCCTTTCAGTGTATTTTCTATGTAAGGTGCACACATATATACATAGTTTTTGAACTTCAATTAGGCCATACCATCTATACATTTTTAACATAACTTTAACTGTTTTATATTACCTTTCTGTTATTGTACATTTTTTATCCCCAAGCTTTTAGTGCTCTTTTGGATATCTTGTCTTTTGAAAATCTGTTGCTTTTTAAAATTTAGCTCTGTGCACTTAGTTCTACCCGCCCACTCCTTTTTGCTCTACTATGTTATTGGTGAACAAATAATAATTGTTATTATTAATTGTTATGCTTTTATTAATAATAATTGTTAATAATTGTTTACATATATTTCACCAATAACATAGTAGACCAAAAGGAAAGGGATGGGTAGAAAAACAAAAAAAATTGAGAAGTGATAGGATTCAAACCACAGATATTCCTCGTAGGAAGTAAACACCTTATCCAAATTAAAATAAAATAAAATAAAAAAAGTTATATTTAAAAGTACATAAAAGTGTATTACTTATATAGGGACAATATATACTTAAAATTATATAAATATATTTTATAATTAAAGTTATATTAAAATTATACAAATATATTTTACAAACAGGTGCAATTTATATTTTAGGAAAACCATTATTTTTAATGTTGATTTAAAACTTTTTTTTTTTTTTTTTTTTTTTTTGCTTTTTGCCTTATCTTGCTTTATATGCTAAAAATAACAACCACTTTAAATAAAAACAGTACACAAATATTTAAATTATTATTATTATTACTTTTTTCTATTTAAATTTATTTTAGTTTCCTATTTTGTTAGTTTTGCTTTTTATATTTTGAAAGTTTTAGTTTTTTTCTGCGACGTTATATAAAAAAACTTTCAAACGGTTGTGACCAAGTTGTCTAAAATATAATACTTGTGTGTGTACATACAAGACACAAAGCTGCACGCATTTCCTGGCAAGGCTTGCAATAAAACAAAAATAAAACATTGTGCACTGCAATGTTTTACTTTTATAGCTTCACTGTATTTACTTTTTTTTAAACCAGTTCTATTGGTTAATGTTAGAAAAAAACAACTTAAAGGCTTTCATGCATTAATAAAATTTAATTGTCGCTTTTGCAAATTATTCTGTTTTTATAATTGACGAAATAAAGAATTCTAAAAAAGCTCGAGGCAACACTACTTTTAATGAAAAAAAAAGCAAAACCATAAATTTAGTAAAGTTTTGAAACCGGACCATTTTTTCAAAAGGAGTGTGACAGTCACCCTACTTCCCCGCACTAGTAACAGCCCTGGCATTAAAATCTTTGAAAAAAAAGTGTACTTTAAGAGAATCTTTTGGTTTTAAATAATAGTAAATAAAATAATCTTGTTTTTATCTTTGATAAAATAAAAAAATTATTTTATTCACCATTAGATTAAGTTTAATAAGGATCCAACTCTCGTTAACACCAGTTAAAGTTTATTTATTGAAAGTTCCATTTAACTTACAAAAAATTAGATAGGATTTAATAATTTTTTTTTTATTCTTATCTAAGTTACAAATTTTTATAGTTATATATATATTTATAGTCATAAGTTGTATTCTTATTCAAGTTTTATATTTTTATAGTTTTATATATTTATAGTTATAGTTTTTTTTTATTCTCCTATTTTTAATTACTTTAGAAATTTTCCTAAAATCATTTCTTTAAACACTAAAGCAAATAACTTTTTTAATGTTTCAGTAAGAATAGAGGGAAATCATTTTCTAAATCGTGGAAGATTATATATTGATCCTAACACATATGATTGTGTTGATGATGCTGTACAAGAATTTGCAAATGAACTTGACAACAAAAATCTTGAAGTTGGAAATTTTTTAGGTGGTGGAGAGTTTGCAGATGTATATAAAGGAACTTTACTTAAAAATGAAAAACGCATTGATGTTGCTATTAAAATGCTCAAGGTAATAATGAAGGCTTTAGAATTATAGATTTTTCTTTAATTAATAATTTCTTTTTATAAATTTTAGAAAAAAATTAAAATTTAAAAAAATCTATTTTTCATGTTACCTTTAATAAAAGAAGTTTCAAAAGGTTTTCTCTGATTTTATTGTTTTGCTTTTATTGTTCTGTTTTAAGTGTTTTGTTTAGATTGTTCTGTTTTAAGTGTTCTGTTTTGATTACACTGATTTGATTGCTCTGTTTTTAATGTTCTTTTTATCAATTGCAAATTGATATTTATGATATTTATGGTATTATTAATTTACAGGCTGTCATGACCTGTAAAATACGGGTCATGGTAAATCTATTCCACACCGACCTTTTTTATACTTATTCCTTACTTCAATATTTTTTAAAAGCTTTTTAATGTTTTTAGAAAATTTGAAAAGCTTTTTTAAAAATTCTCTCCTTTTTGTTTGTTTTAGTATATAATATCTTTATATATGTTGCATATAATATCTGAAGACCTTTTAAAATGTTTTACTTACTATTCTAGAAAATTAGAAAAGATTAAAAAAAAAATTGAGTAAATGAAAGGATTTGAAGCCACGTAAAGTACTTCAACCACTTTGACATGCTATTATATCATCTTTTAACACTGTTTAATAAATAAAAGACATTATTTATTTTTTAAACTTTATAAAATGGCATATGAATGCCATAAATCAAAATTAAGGAGATATTGCCGCAATAAGAATTTGACTATAAAAGTAAATCTGTAAAATTTGATATAATTTTTAATAATTTGGAATAATTTGAAGTTAGATATTTGCATAGACTTTTGTTCAGATAAAAATACAAATCATTATGGGTTATTATTTAAAAAAAAAATCCCTAATAGCTTTGTAAAACTAAAAATATATTTATTTACACATTTATTAACAAATTAACAAAACATAATTTTCAATAGTTTTTCAATTGTATGTCTATATTGAACAAACACATCATTTGATTCATCTAAAAAACATACTCGAATTAAAAAGTGTAAAAAATACACCACATGTGTATTTTTTCCATTTTTTAATTCCAAAATATATAAAGAAAAATATACATTTACAAAAAAAATTTAACTAAATTTGCATTATCAATTAATAATCGGTAGATTAACTAACTACAAAAATACTAATTATAGATGTTTTTTTTTTCCCACTACTCTCTCTCTCCTAATACTTTACTTTCTACAGGATCCACACTCTATAATTTAAAAATTGTAAGATATGTCTAAAATGAAAAGAGAAAAAAATTATGACATTAACAAAAATAGAGACAAAAATTAAGACATTTTCAATAACAAAGAAAATGGTGTGATTAATAAAGATCAAGAATATAAAGAAGACAATTTAAAGACGAATGTAGATGATGATGTTGCACGGAAACCAACGCATGATGAACGGTATACTAAAATAATTTTTGATGATGCATAAACCAGAGAACATAGTGATCCAAAATATATTTTTATTGGTTTATTAGTTTTTTTAGTAATCTTTAACGTTATCTAAATGTTAATAGAGACAAATTAAAAGAATAAAAGAAATGAAAACATTAAAGATTAACACTACAAACCAATTTACCTGTTGCTGATGCTTTTTCTAAAGCATTGTTAAAAATAGTCAAAATCTGTAAGAAAAGACATTTATTGCAAAGACAATAAGCTATTACACAAAATAACAAAAACATAATAGCTATCGGTGCAATTTTCAAGTTTTGTAATTCGACCAGAAAATAAAATTGTCCTTACCTCGATTGCCACAAACTAATTTCTTTTTAAACTAATAGCTAATGATCGACATTAATTTACATTAATGTTAGTAAATTTTAAATAATTAAAGTTTACTAAGTTAAAACCATATTTTAACAGTAGACAAAGTAAACTTATAATAGTTGGTAAAGCACCAAAGTAGAACTAAAGAAATAAAATAACAACTAAATTTAAAATGTTTATAATACATAATATTTGTATTTAAACATGGAAAATAACTCTACTATAATAAAGGTGAATAATAAAGGTAAAGTTATAAATACAAACATAAAATAAATAAATAAAAAAAGAAAGAATATAACAAAATGTTTTTTTTTATTTACAGTATGAGATTTTACAACTAGGTGTTGAAAAGAATTTAATTACTATGGTTAAAAAGCTGTCTCATGCTCTAGATAAGTTTTACAGTTACAAAAAAATTGCTGTTTTAAATTGCAATGTACATGACAACTTAGTGATAAACGATTTGTATACATTGAAGATCGCACCATTTAGTGGATTAAATCCTATAAAAGCCATTGTTAGAGTTAGTATTTATGGAGGACATGGTTCACTGAAGGTTTAGTAACTTAAACTTTATATAATGCAAATAAAAGTAGTAAAATTGAACTATTATTCAATAGTGTTTTTTAAGTAATAATAATTGTTTAAGAGGGAAAAAAGTTGGGGATACCAAATATGTCATAATATTTCATGTAGTTTTTGTTGCTGCACACTATACTTTAAAAGTTAATTTAAAACATATAGATAATTACACTTTTGAATAAAAATTCAGATGATGAAAATTTTCTAGATAAAGCTATACAGGGTGAGAAACATGAGGATCATTTATGACAGGGTAGGATTGAGAAAGTAAGTGCAGCAGTTTAGGTATAAAATCTAACCTTATTTCTCCAAGAAATAAAAATAAGGTGTAATCATACTAAGAATGAGGTGATATGCTGCCTTGTTTACACTTTACAGCTAGCTAATTGTGATGCTTTAAATACCCAAAAAAGATACAGAGGTGTGCAGAATAGTCACTTCTATGGCTTTCTCACAAGCAAGTGTAGAGAGGCTATTTTTTATATTTGAGTTTATATCTGCTATATAATCTAGGTTATATTTATAAAACCACCAAAACTTGATATTTTATAAAATATTTTATTATTTTGATTTGTTTCTTTTGGAGCCGCTCCGGAGCTGCTCTGGAGCTAAAAAAAATTTTAAATTACCTAAAGCAATACTAGCTTCTACTGAGAAATAAGACTCACTGCTTGATATTTGTTGATTCGTCACTTACAGATAGGCAGACCATTGGTTTACTGACCTAATGTGCAACACAGATGATTTTCGGAAACTATGTAGCAGTTTGCAACCATCACATAAAGGCGTTAAACACAGAGAAAAAGTTTTGGAATCAGGAACCATTGAGAATGGAAATCTGCAGGATAAATCAGTGTGCAGATTTAGCAATCAATTGTCTCTAAGTTTTATTTGATCTCTGTAAAAGTTAAGAGAAACTCCTGCTTAGATTTTTTTTTTGTCTTAAAAAGCATAAAAGTTGTTCAATATATACAATAGTACTTTTCCTAGAATTGTTATTTAAATTTGTAAAATTGTTATTTAAGTTTGATGCAGGATTGTTTGATGTTACCATGGGAGGCTATAATGGCACCGAAGTTTGCAAACTAGTTGGGATTTTTATTTTAGATCAACTTTCGTAGTTTTAAAACAAAAATGATTTCGGTTTAAACCTCAATACAAAAATAAAGTATACATTGGGATAAGCTAAACCTTTTTGAAGCTAAGTTATGCGAACCATCTAAAATTCTTTAACATAAAAAATACATGAATGACACTGAGTTATCTAAGGAAGTATGGGAATTAAAAGAAAACAATTTTACATCTTCAATCAAATGGAATATTATTAAGCTCTGTAAATCATACAATCCTGCGTCAAAAATTTGTAAGTTTTGTTTAAACGAGAATTTCGAAATATTATTTCACAAAGGAGACAACCTGCTAAACAAAAGAGGCGATATAATTTGTAAATGTAGACACAAAAATAAATTTCTCCTTTCATTATTTGAAAGCGGAGATTAGTTTTCCATTACATCTTCTTTTACACTAGTGTCAGAACTCATTCTACCCTAGTTTGTAATTTTTAAATGGTTTTTTATATTTTTGATTTTCTATTTCATGCCTGATGATTGCTATGAAATAGGCAATCATCAGCCATGAAATAGAAAATCATACGCATGAAACTTTAAGTTCCATTTAAAGTTGTTTTTTCTAAATTTAAGTATATATATATATATATATATATATATATATATATATATATATATATATATATATATATATATATATATATACACATGTCACACAAAGTTGGTGTCCCTGTTAATGCTTTTGGTGTGCATTGTTGAGATACTGAGGCCAGACAAGGAGCCCTAAGTTACAACTTTGGGTTAATTAGCAAGACAGAGAAAACTGCATAGCTGATTGCTTGGGATACTTTATCTATGAATGTGTCAAGTTCTCTTTGAACTTAAATCATGACCAACATAACCAAAAATATTAAACATAAAAAACCATTCCCAACACCTAGCCGTTTCAATATATCTTGTACAAATATTTGTGGTCTTTGAAGTAACTTTCTATCAGTTGAATTTTACCTCTTGTAAAATTTACCAGAATTGCTTGCTCTTTGTGAGACTAATTTGAATTCACCTGTTCCTTTTTCAGATCTCGGTACTTTAATTTGCAAAGACTCCATTAGTCACATATCAATTCACCTATTTGTTGAGACATATTCAATTTACCTATTTTGTCGTTTTCCAGACAACCCTAATCACCTAATTTCGCTCCTTGATTTGCGTCTTGTCTCTGACTCTAGCTTATGTTCAGTTTCTCCTATTTTACCCTTAGGTAGTTTTGACCATGGAATAATCTCTATAAATCTTTCATCTCATATCTCTTCTTTAGATCCTAGCATTACATCTATGTTTTTTGATTTACTTTGTGATGGTCTTTGGGCTTTTCTCTCTCCACTGATAAATGTGCCTCCTATGTAACCTCCTGATTATCCAAGAAGGATCCAGGCAGGTATGGAAGCTTTTCCTTCTTGTAATTTCCAAATAAAGCCTTTTTCTACTCCATGGTTTTCACCATTTTGTGCAACTGCTGTATCATCTTTTTCAAAAGAACAACTCTCTTGTG